CAGCTCACCCTGCGTGCAGCAGGCAGCCCTCAGCTGGGCACATGGCCAACATCCCCAAGCAAACTCCCCCATCCCCTTCTCCCCTCCCACGTGTAGCAGCACCTTCTCAAGCGCAGCAGCCCCGCGGCAGACGCAGCATTCCCTGGCACAGGAACAGCATCCACAGGGCTCCTCCTTCCCTGCACCCAGAGGAGCACAGCTGCCCAGGCCAAGCCCAGCCATTCCCCAGGCACCACTAGGCATGCCAATGACAGAAAGTGAACAATGCGCAGTGAAGTTTGACTTACTCAGGTTCTTTGCTCCATAATAATCGTCACTTAACCCAGGGAAGTCCTGATTTCACAGAGAGCAAGAAGGGGGAGAGGAGGAGAGAAGAAAGCAGGGGAGAGGGCAGTCAGAGGGATGGGGGAGACAGAGCCAGACCAGCATTAGTGACAAGAGTGCAAAACGGCCCAGAGCTGCAACTGCAAGTGAGGTCAAATGTTTTCAGAGCTGACACCATCACTCTGCTGCCAAAGTCTTGCCTTGTGTGGTTGGACCCGCCCCCAAGCTCATCCTCTCTGCCAAAGAGTCCCAACGGCTATCCTGTGTGGATGCAGCCCACAGGGAGGGAGCTAGCTGTGGATTTGGGACACGACCTGCCCCATCCCCAGGCTGCACTGCATGGCTGGCCAAGAGCCCTGCCCCAGTGAGCCCCCAGCTCCAGCACGAAGCTGACTGGAGCCCAGTCTTGTCCAGGCACCGAGATACCTGGACACCAGACTTAACCCTCATCTCAGCACAGAGGCTCACACTAGCTAAGCTCACTGAAGCTGGCACCAGCCTGGCAGGGGCAGCAGAGGGCTGCAGGCAGCCCTCAGAGAAGCCAAGTATCAATCTCCTGCCTCTGCATCATGCCCAGTAGAACCATGGGAGGGGACATCCTTGTTGCACTGGCACCAGGGCACAGACACTGTTCTGCCTTGCTTACTTCACCTTCCCTGAGGTGTGAGGACTGCAGCTCTCTGGGTGCCTGCCAAAGGTATGGATGCAGTTCAGTATCTGGAAGGAGGAGGGACATGGTTTGGCAAGCAGCTCCAGTGCTGCTCAAGTCAGGCTTTGGGGCAACAAGCTGAATGAATGCCCTGTCTTCACTGGGAGTCCTGGGGTGATGCCAGGTGGGAGCTGGGCAATCTACCAACATCTGCAGCCACCTACCAAATACATGACTCAGTTGCAGGTGGGCAGCTCCTCCACCAGCAAAGCCATGGCTCCCCCATGCCAAGGGGGTTTAACCCATGGGAAGGGCTCTCAGACAGGAATACATAGCTACATGTCATTTCTCGGGAAGATGAGGAATGCAGCCTGGAAATCCCCTGCCCCTCAGCCCTGACAGGGACAGGAGAAGCTCTGCAGGAAGTGACCAGCCCCTCGCCTGGAGCAGAACAGCCCTTGGCAGGTGGCAGGAGGGAGCAGAGCCTGCAGCAGAGAGGGGAGAGCATGGGGAGGCAGAGCAGGAGTCAGATGGGTGTAAGGTTGGATGAAAGGATGAAGACAT